GCCTTCTGAGACTGTGACAAGATTTATCAGTGATATTTTTATTTTTTTTAAAGAATAGGAGTGAAGCTCACTGCTGTACAAAGGGGGAACACTGGACCTGGGTCCCACAAGCTCTGTTAGGCCTTTAGCTGGCCCTCTGCACAAGCCTGAGCTGTACCTGAGTCACTGTAACAACACCATCAGGGCAAAACATACTGATCACTTTGCAGCTATTAAAAAGAACACATTAAAACACTTTGGCATTATACAAAATTCTGCTTTTCCATGGTACACCCTAAAATTACCATGTAGCTAGCTAGAGAAGTACATACTGTTATGTTATTTACAAAATGGATTCAACAAAAAAGTTGAAGGCACTATTTCTTAGTAAACTTCAAATCCTCTCTTCAGAAAACACATACACAGAGCACTTTCAAGTACAAATCAGCTCTTGTGCCTTTCTGAACACTGCAGCTTGAGCTACCTAAAAGTAGAATTAAGTGCATGAAGACCCAGAAAAAAATCCAGCACCTAGTATATTCTCACTTAGTATTTCAATCCAGTATTTATATTCAATGAAAAACCACTGCATTAATTCCTTTTGCTGGGAAATGATGAGTGTGAAACCCAGGGACTCACTGAATCCCATGCCCAGCTGATACCTCTTGGCACTTGTTGTATTTACTTGTCTCTTCCAAGCAGCCGCTGAAGGAGCACACACCCGAGACTCACGCAGAACATCTGTAGCATCATGAAGAATACTCACTTACTACTTCATGAACTGTTTTCTTCTTATGTATTAGATGATACACCAATATAATTCTGAAAATACATTACAGTGCTGCAGTGGTTATAATGTTTTGTTCATTAGGTAGGCTTCTTAAAGCAGTCAAAAGATGTGCAATCTCCCAAGTTACCCACATATGATGGCATATAATAAGAATAACCAACTGTATGCCCTAAAGCCCATTCAGAAAAGGAAAGGTTAGTTCTTTACCTCTTTGTTTATTTCATCCAGATTTGGCTCTCAGCAATTTTTTTACACCAACTCAACTCTACTTTATCACTAAATATTCAACAGAAACAGACACAGTAAAAAAAAACAAAACTATTAAAGTGACCTTTTTGCCTTGTGTTCTTTCCCTTCAAAGCCTATTTTTAACATGGTGACAGAGTTCTTAAAGCATGTACCTCTCCCCATTCCCAGTATTTTCAGTCTCTGAGGAGAAGAAACCACATGTCATTCCAACCAAACTGCTGTGTAGGTTGGTAGCTAAGGGTAGAGCCATGTGCTGTTGTCACTGCCCAGTCACTTCAGTGTTTTATTAAAAGTTTAGACTTTACCAAGCCAGGTAGTTGCTGTTGTTTTCCTAAGCAATGATGTTGCAAAAAGGAAGATTTATTTTAGGCAAAGTCTTTTTAGACAAAACATTTTCCATGGTATTAAGTTTTGCCATTGGGGTAGGAATTAACGAACTCAAGAAAACACACACAAAAAAGCACAACTATGGAAAAACAGTTTCCACAAGTTAAAATGTGAGGCTTACGTGATCTTTAAGATGTCGTTATTCATGGATAAAATTTTCAACATCTACATGCATGATTCAGGAGCATAAGTCTCATGGTAGTAACCAACAACTCTTCCTGCTAGATTTGTAAAAAAGTTTTCAGGAGTCTATTGACAAGTGATCTTGACATAGGACTCACTAAGAGATATCTGTACACCTCTTCACACATCTAAATATAAAACATTTTTGCTTCTTGCCACAGTCATGATATTCAGCACTGCTATACCTGTTAAAAGCATTTTTAATATTTAAATCTATTTTACATTTCTCTATTGGATGTTGTGAGAATTCTCAAAATTCAGACCAAAAATACAGGGTACCCCTCATGTAGGGTTATAAATGTCAAAAGCCACTACCAGAGAAAACCTGTTAATAAACCCAGCTCTAAGGACTCCAGGAATCTGGAGAGTCCCACACAGAGACACGGCAAAATACAATCATACTTGTAACTCCAACGCATTAGAGAAATAAAGCCCCAATGAGAGTGCCTGTTACTGATATGTTTAGATAGATAACAGACCAAAAATGGTTAATCCAACGACACACCAGCATTTCAGCTTAACCAAGCACAAATCACTGCTCTTGCAGACAACAGCCAGTATCTCGCTGAAGAGGAGCCAGCAGCGCAGAGCACAAGGCAGGACCTCAAGTGGGCACACGTATTGACTGGCATTCCCACTTCAGGCTGGCCACAGGCCTTCAGGAATAGCTCACATGCAAGTATTCTGGAATTAAAGCAACTTTAACGTGGAACAAGAATAAGACGTGAATAGTTAAATGGAATCAGTATAGTTACTGCGTGATGGTTAGTTCCCCTTCTTCTGACAAAATCCCAAAGGGTAGATATCTAATTTCTGCAAAAGCTCAGGTTTCCAGGTGGCTTTCAAGGTTAACCACAGACACAAACAATAGCAATACTTCAACCTAAAAGGAATATAAAAATGAAACAGTCTGCAACAAACAAGATTAAATCTCTTGGTCTACCAGAGATTTTAAAAAAGAAAAGAAAAAAAGAAAAGGCATAATTGGCTTCTGATAAACATTTGCAGCTTGGGAAGAATGATTTGTCAACCTTGCAAGAAACAGAAGATAGTATATTGAATAGTGAGTTTATGCCAACAGCACAACGTAACAAGAGAAGCCCAGGATAATAAAGAGAAGATAAAGAATATTCAGACAAGTTACTTAACAAGGCATAATATCTGATTTATGGCCTGAATGAAAGCCCACTGAAAGTATTCCACTTGATTTCAGCAGGTTTTAAATCAAGTTGAGCCTTAAGGGAAAAAAAATGCAGAGATAAAATTTTTTATTAACTGTTCCAGCTTTACGACAAAAAGTCAGCTAAATGAAAATTTTAAGTTTACCTCTGGCAAATGATTCTCAGCAAAAAGAACGTGCTGTCACTGCATTTGCTAACACACTGAATAGTGCCACCATAACTGCCACCCACAGCCATTAAAGGAACAAGGAGCAAATATACTCTTCAAAAATATGAAGTTAAACCAAAAAAACCCATTGAATATTGGGGGGGGTGGGGGAGTGGGTGGAAGGTGGTCAGTTCAAATGAAAAAAAATTTTGCAGGAAACAACATGAGTAGAGTGATCTACAAGTTATAGGCATTTTGTTCAACTTTGCATAAGCTTGTGTTTTAAAATGAATCTTTCATTAGTAGTATTACCAAACACAAGCCTAACTAAATCCAGTAAGGTTATGTTCTTACCAGTGAGTGATCCCCCTTCCCCCCCGCAAAAAAAAAAGGGATAAAAAAAGGATTTGAATACTTTACCAATAGACAAACTGTTTTTGCTTCTTCTGTAGTGTTTCCAAAGCACTCCAGACCAATCTCTTGAGAGCACCTTAATACTCAAAATGCCCCATGGTATGAGTTCTAGATCACTTGCTACCAGGTAGCAGTCAGTCACGGAATAAAAACCCCTATTGGAGGTCTTCAAAATCAAAATGACTGAGGTGATAATTAAAATTATAATCTCATTCTTACAAAAAGCTTCTAGCAAACAGTTTGATTCAGATGAGCAAGACATTGCCAAGAAGTTTCTGATGCACTTGCTTGTACTACATCATTTTATCAGTAGTCAACTTTAGCAACTGCATTTTTATAAAGTATCTTTTATTAGCCAACTAGAAATATCAATGTTTATAGTCCTACTATACATAATCAGTGGAATATAAAAATAGATTCCAAAATATGAGGATAGAAAGTTAGGATACAGAAAAACCAGCACATAGTATTCATGTTAAATTTGACTGTGAAAAGTAGAAGACAAGAGGAAAAAGGGAGGGCAGAGCTTCATGTCTGGAAGAGGCCAAAACATGGTGGGTTTTTTTCTTTCATGTGTATTTCTTTCACAGAACAGTACAGAAGAGATACAATTTGTTATTATAATTTTTTTTTATATTGTCATGGTGGTGTAAAACAGGGTAAAAGCACCAGCTGGTTAGGAACCAGAAATATCAGTCCAGAAATCCTACAGCAAAAATAAGATTAAAAACCCCACCCATAACGCTAATTATATCACAAAACGTTCATATTGACTACAAAAATCTCCCTCTCAGTCCAAGCTCTTTATACATTGTAAGTAACCACTGAGGATGGACAAATCAAAGCTAAGAAGCTAGCTGGAAGCTCATGGTTGCTAACCTGATGGCACTCTAATTATGGTGGCACAAACCCTAACATAGGTGGACACCGGGTTCTGCAGCCACTGCTGCCACCTGAACTGCATGTTTGAAGTATGACTTCCTGCTCTGAGTTCAAAGTTATGATGTGATAAAGAAGCAGAACACAACAAAAGCCTGTAAGCATGAGCTGAAAGAGAACACACTTAGAAGTTCTAATCATTGTGCCCTAAAAATATAAATGTGGCTCTGAGATCTGTTGTTAACTACTGGAGCTCTTAAGAGTACAAAACTCCTCCTTTAATTGGGATCTTCACATACAAACAGGAACAACGCCACAGACAGTACCCAAGATTTTCATAATTGCTTTAGTATTCTGTATCAGCCCTTCAGGGAGTAAACTGCAAGCTTCCCAGGGTAATTCTTTACCATGTTACTATGAGACAATACGTACAAATCTCGGAACCGTGACACTCCCATTATTGTGGAACTTCATTTAAAATATTACAATTTCATTCCAAAACTATAAAATGAAATATTTGATCATTTCCCTTTGGGAGTGTGTGCAGGGGAAATATCTCAGACATGCTTTCTGGCCTTTCTTTCACTTTAAATACATTGGCTCTTTCTAAACTATTAAGGAATTTAAAACTTGCTTCCAGAGAATACAATGAAAGATAATTTAAATTGTTACAGTATATGTGTTACATCTGATCAAAGACAGATCTTATTTGTATTTTAAACTTCTTTGGAATGAAATTAGCTAATACACATATATGAGAATAACATCAGACTAGATAATACGCTCTGACCTTTCTGTTTTTGATTCACTGTCAGCTCGATAGTGTTCAAGGTCTTGGTAAAGAGACTGCAATTCTGCTTGAAGTCCTTTTTCCCGTTCTATACTTCCTTCATAAAATTTAATCTCCTTCTCCATTGCTTTTACTTTTTCTTCCATCACCTTAAATTCATGAAGTATCAAATAGCTGACTCCACAGTATTTACACACTGTCTCATCCCGGGGCATCTAGAAAAACAGAAAATTGTAAGAAACAAAGTGAACAAAAAAATCTGAATGACACTAAATAAAACTAATAAATCTGAACACTTTAAGCCATTTACTGCTCTGGAGCATTTATGACCCAATAATGTTATTGCCTTGACAAATAATAAAGACAAAATTCTACATTAGCAAAATGAAATCAAGCTACAGCAGTACTCTCCTTTACAGGAAATGTCACTAGATACACCAACTATGCAATTTACGATGTGGGAACTCCTATGGGAATTCTAAACTGAAGTACCTCCAAATTATGTTTGATGTAGTAATTTAAAATAAAATGCTGTGTTTTACGAAGTTATTTCCATAATGAATTTGTGATCACCTGAGCCAGAAAAATGTTATTTACTGTGTTCTTTTGACAACTCACATCCAATAGAAGTAGGCAAGATGAAAAGTGAAAAGCAGATAGAATGATGTAATCCAGCAATCTTTACAAAAGTAATTGAAATGAGTAAGGGACTAATTATTATGATGTAGTGTCCATGGCACTCAAGTGTTGTGGAAAATGTAGCCCATTTATTAGGTATGAAGTATTCATCACAGATTAAAAAAAAAAACACAGTACGTAATACACATCTAATTGAAAGACAATTTCTTAAATTGAGAAACATACTTTTCTAAGTGATCGATTATTAAGCTTTGCAGTAAGCAAGGCTTCATAAATATGGACAGACAGATGTGCTCTGACTTTGATACATACTTATTACTCAGTATATCAGTTATTTCTGTGTATTTTAATCATTTTCACTTCCAGAAAAAAGTGCTCAGCCAGTTTACAGGTGATGCAGAACTGAAAACGCACAAACAATGGATATTGAGTAAATAAACCAGCCAGACCAACCCCAGCAGGTCCGGAACTTCAGTAGGGGACATGTAAGCATCTGAGTATCAGTGCAGATCCCAGACCCCTCAACATGACAGGTCTGACCCTGCTCTTGGGTCACAGCATAAATGCATTTGAGAGGAGGTGGCTAGAATCCAGGCTAGATCAGAGGACACTCAAAATACAACTAAAAAGACAACCTCAAAGCAACCAATATAAAAAGGTATCAATAAGCTTGGCGACATGAAAGATGGAAAAGGGGCAGCAGCTGGAAGAACAGTCGTGTGTTTGTGTACTGAGAGCTTAAAACAGGCTTTAACCTTTCCTGCAATTATCAACTGTTACAAGGGTTTTAACACAACGACTGATGAAAATCAGAAAGCTGGAAAACTGCAAACAGTTTAAGTCAAAGAATATAAGAATCCCCTGCGTTACAGAAAAAGAAAAAAAAAACCACATTTTGAGACATTGGGATAAATTGAAAGAAATCAGATGAAAGAAAACAGCTTTCAAAAATTATAAACTAAAGACTCATTATCCCATGATTCAAATATCTTTAGCGCTTTAAATATAACTTCATAAAAATGATATTTCAGGATACCCTGGAATTACCAGGCCAGCCTTTATTTTCCAATTTCTTAGTTTTCCCCCAGTTTGAAATACCCCTAGTTACAGTTGCTCTGAATGAGCTGAAAATGCAAGTTTATTTTTCCTGGCAGCTTCAAACTGTGCTTGGAAATATGAAACTGTTATTCAGGATAACTACCATAAAGTTCCAAAGCACTAAAATTACTATATTGAAAAAGGACAAAATGAGCTGTTATAAGGAGCACAGGAGGGGGGCTCTTATCCCCAAAAGAACATCATGCTCTCTTGCAGCACCACCACTGCTGTCTTTCAAATAAACAGTTAGAGAGATTTCCCTGGGTACTCAGATTAAAAACAAAATAAAACAACTGGAGTCCTGAACTGAAAATGTTTCATGCCAGTACTAAAACTTTTTTGTTTTCAAATTCAATTCTGTTACTAAACTTAAAAATAAATTAAGTCATTAAACAATAAATATTATCTGCCTGGACTTTGTGGGAAATGGGCCCCTTTCTTCTTCATGTTCATTCCTCAGATGAAGTAAAAACTTGCAAGGCCTTCAGATCAGGTTAGATTTTTAAAGTATCTGCTACATAGCCAAAACTCAAAGGAAAGCCTAATGGCTTTATATTACTGCAGTACGGAAAGAAAGCTCTGTCTTTTAATTGGAGCCTTGCTTCTGTACGTGCACAATCATCCTGCAACCACTGCAATATACTGTATATAGACACAAACTAGGGTTGAGCTTTGGGCTGGACTGGCCACTGAAACCTCAAACCCAGAAAACTAGTTTTAAAATACCTATCTGTAGTGTAAGTAGCAGCTTCTTAATACCAATAATGGATTTGGGATGGGTTGAGTGATGTTCAACAGGCAAGCTAGCCCAAACTAAATTCTGTGCTGCAGTAGATTAACACCAATAAGCAAGCTAACAAATATAAATCCAGCACATATATGCCCAATACACCTAGAAAATTAACAGGACACAGTTGAAAGTGAATAGCTCCGAAGAGCAAGGCCTAAACTGGGCAAAGCAAGGGGCGTAACTAATCCGAATTCTCATCCTAAATCCAAGATTCCTCTCTCATGCCCATAAGTGGTCAAATCAGAAGCAGGACTTTCTCTCTTTTTTTTTTTTTTCTTCCTCCCTGCTGTCTTACACTGTCACCATCACAACCCGAGTTCTCCTCACTGATACTTTAAATATCTCCTGAAATTCCTGAGCTGGTTGGACATTTTTCAGAATCTACTGAAGCTTCCACAGATAGGTACAGAGAAATACCATGAAGCTGTAGATGCTGATTTCATTCAGCCAAAATAATGACAAAGTTATCTTAGGGCTACACCAATCTTAAGGACAGAGCCAGAAAGGGTTTAATAGCTTCGAAGGCTACTTACAAAAAAATGTTTTCGGGTTTTGCACCGTTTCCAGAGAAATAAAATTACTTCATCTATGTGCATGTTTCTCTATTGTCACCCTTCAATAACTTGTGAACCAGAATGCTTGGTCATTTAGAACTAATTATGACACCAAGGGCAAAAATATCTAAGTGTCCAAAAGTTTTAGAAATCAGGTAGGCAATAAAGATTTCATAAACTCCCTGCTGAAGAAAACTCTGGAGTGTAAGCACAGTCCTTATCAGATAATCCATACAGGAGAGCGCCTTATAAATGGTTTCTCCAGGAAAAAAAGATTCCATTAGACCTTGTATCTTAGACACCAAAGTTGGTCAACCATTATACAAAAGTCTGTAGGAAACAAATTTCATTAGTTCTTATGCTTACAAAGCTGTCTTTTCTGGAATAGTACTATTGCTGAGTAACCACTAGGAATGTGTATTACATACATAATGATTTATGTTTTCGGGTTCCCTATTTCATGATGTACATTTGATCAAAAGACTCGTCATTTTCTCAAACACAAAGCAGAAAAAAAAAAAAAAAAAAAAAAAAAAAAAAAAAAAAAAAAAATCAGGGGGAAATCAGAGTTTGGAAGAAATAGAAACTGAAACTATGATAAAAGAGACTGTGTATGTCCTTAGCAGTGAGAACAATCAGTGAATAGAAAAAATCAATTAGGAATAAAAGAAACCAAACAGAAGGTAATTTTTGTATTGCCGTTTTGGTCAGCCTGGAGAAAGAAACTAAGGGACTTGAAATAGGACTTGAAAAGGTAACAGGGGGAATACTAAGAAAACCCTGCTATGTAAATTAGCGTGACAGTACTGTGCGCACCGTAACACAAAAAGAAACAAACTCACTGAGGACAAAGTGCTTGAACTGCAAAGATATTTGATCCATAAGATTTTGAGCTACAGCTCTGACACACATCACACCAGATGCTATAAAGAAAGGACAAGAGCTGTGTCCAGAACAAACCGTATCACAAGGCAGCATTGCTAGCTGTGGTATTCCAGCAGCTGTTCCGCTACAGCATCTGTGGGAGTAGTTTCAACTCAGAGCTGCGTTCAGTTTTGGAAGAACTAATATTATTCCATGGTTACATAGATTTCTTTAGCTACCAAGGGCAAGTGGAGAACAGAGCCAAGATGGATAGTCACTCAAATTACATTTATCTGACTCAGTACCATAATCATCTGTGAAGAATACGTGACAAAAGAAAAAAAAAGGGGGGGGGGGGGAAGTTTGGTGATCTGGACCATTTTTAGCCTTTTGAATGACAAGACAGGAATTTATATCACTTCCACTTGACCAAATAACTACAGGGAGCACCAGCTTGTGCACTGCTATTCTTCTCCTCTGATATTTCAGATTCCACCCACAAAAATCACTACGAGAGAGAGCTAAATTCTTGTTAGAAGTAAAATAGTCTACTTTCTCACTTAGCAGTGCCTTGATATTACAATATCCAGCATATGGATCACTTATGCTAGAAATAGTCTGTTACAAGCAGCTAATAAATAGCCATGACTCTTAAAAGCCAGAACTCAAGTCCTCAGTTAATGAGACTCTTTTAAAAAGCTATGAATATGTTTCTGTGCATTGCTGAAATAAAAACATAGAGCCATGAGCACAGATGTACTCCTTGTACATTAATTTTGCAGTGCAGGGGAGGGAGAGCCTAAGGGAACTGCAGCCCTCACCATCCACCTGCATCACCCGCTGCTCCTCGGGCACATAATGCAGTAATAACAGCTCTTGCTCCCTCCCCACTTTCCTGTCAGGGCTGAGACAGCTTTAGCAAGGACTGGCCAAATAACAACAAAACAAAAAAAAAAACCCCAACCAACTGTATTTGTCCAAACTACACTTCTAGTAGAACAACATAGAAAACTCAAGAAAATAATTTTAAAAGTCATTATGCTGTACCTGGGTGCTCCTAAATTATTTCTGTATATTAACTGCTTTATTCTATCTTGACCTTATTCTACCTTATCTACTTTCTTTTTGTTTACTCCTCCTCTGCTGTACTACTTTAATTTCTGTTTGTCCCTCCCCTGACAAACTAGATAATCTCTGCTACACAAAAATAAATCATTACTCAAACAGCACAATTGATTTTCTAGAAAGAAAGCAGAGTCTTCTGCTGTATATGTAAAACTGAAGAGTTATTTGATTGAAATTGATCTTTTTTATTATTCAAAGAATGATTTTTAAGAGTCTCAGTAGAAACTTCACTTCTTTAAAAAAAAAGAGTTTATTGTGAGTCATTTTCAATTAGCATCTACCCAGAAAGTAATGCAGATTGTAATGCTAAACCATGCTGCATACATAATTATTTGCTCAACTTCCATAAAATAGCTGTTGCAAAATAAAAATCACAATACTTGCTCTGAATGCATATGAATAGCGTAGAAATAGGCATGTAGTAAAAACAGAATGTCCTGCTCTCAAAAGTTTCATTCAAAACATGCCCTGGAATAATCAGTTTGTCACGACAGGAAATAATACTCAGATTTCAGGTAGCTTTAAATTTTTTCCTGCCCGTGAGTAAAGCAGACTAATGAATCATAAAAGATGTTGTTACACTGCTAGTAACTGCACACCCTCACACAAGCCCTGCAGATACCTAACACATGTCCAAGAGGACACCCAGACCGTCCTAGTGCTCCTGAGCTCTGTCAGGACATGTCATGGCACACTCCGGTGCAATGCGGAGCAGAGAGTTCTTCTGAACTGATCCAGAGTACATTGTGACAAAATGATGCCTGCGCAGACAAAAGATAATTTAGCCCATTGCTAACTATATCTTTGCCTGCCAATCCTGACTTCTTGCATCCATAGTTGCAATTGTTGGGATGCCCCTCCTAGCTACAACCCCACTGCTTCTGATGCAAGATAGACTGCAATCCCTACAGTTCCTAGTAACGTACTTGCATGCTGGTTGTGGAAAGGGTAGAAAAGCTTTAATACAGTGAATACAGCCCTAGTCTTATGAGCATAGCAAGAGATAAAAATGCTTTGCTGCCCTAGGTCACCACCAGTGACTCCAGAATTCTCACATTAGGAATGGAAGATCGTTATCCAAGTTCAGAAGACCTGCTTTCACAAATGCTCTGATACCACAATACACAGCAGTAACAAAGCAGGTTGCCTTTACTATCTGGGAGCTGGTTTTCCCAAATCAACTATGGGTCCATGGCTAATCAGATCACTGTTGAAAGCTTTCCACCTCTTAACTGTAACATGTGAGCTCATACCAAAAGTAAGCAGATCTTTTCTAACATTTCCAAAGCACATTAAACAGCTATTCAGAATACTCACACAGACAGAGCTTGTCATCCCAACAACATCTAAAAGTTAAAAATTCTATAGCCAAATGCTGAAAGTCTCAGTGGGCACAAGGGCAACTCAGGAACATCATCTTAGGAATCATTCCTAAGGTACCTGACAGCATGACTCTGAGAAGACTTCTCACCATTCTGCATATAAATGTTACCGTGTTCATCTGGAAGGCACTAATGGAGATGTTGCTGCTTCTGAACCCATATCGATATCAATATCACGAGTACTGAATCCATAGCTATGTCGTTCCCTTCTGCAACACTAGTCTTGGTTGACAGAACAGATTCTTTAGCTAACTGCAAATATGTAAGAACCTATTAAAAAAAACCACAAACCCAGCTTCAAAGACACAAGAAAAGCTACAGATAACATAATGTGCTCATAAAGATGCCATAATGTGCCAAATATATAGCACACATGACAAATCTAATAAGTATCCATTTGCTACTTGTAACGTACATGATGTTTTGTGGGTAGTCAGATACCATGGAACGTTCTGTACTGATGTACAGCACAGCTTCAAAGTTCCTGCCCTGATGGTTTCTTAAGCTCCTAGGGTGAGAGAACTACTAATCTGTAAAGGCATCTTGTGCTCAATCTACTTTATGATTTATGTTAAGAAAAGGTTATTCATTTGCCAAATAAAATGTAAAATTAAATATAACTTTTGGTTTGGTACTTTGATGACTCGGGGTCATTTTACTGCTTTTTTGTTTCCCACTTCAGTAAGATCTTCAGGGCAAGATCTACTTACATTGAACAGACAATAGTACTGAAACAAACAGAACTCTCATAAGTTCACGAGCATATAAAAGATTTGTCTACCACTAGCAACACACAGGGCTTTACTCCAACAGGTCTTACTCCCTGGCAGACTTTGGCAGTAGAACTGGCTGCAGAATAGGCTGTTCGAGGTTGATACAAGATGTTCCTTTCCCTTTCCGTACCGTCCTCTAGAAGTGCAATTTTGGAAGCAGCAACATCACTGCTCCAAGTATTGATAAACAGCTTGTGAAGCTCCATCTGCTAGGAGCACGGAGAAGAGGAATGATGACAGCTCTGGTCTGCATCTTTTCTTCTGAGACAGCTGCTAGATATTTTGTCAGCACTACAACCCATCTTCCAGCAAGCCAACTCAAAACAGCACCTAGCAGTGAATACTCTTCATTCTGCAGCTGAAATCACAAAGCTTATTACACTCCCTCCAGATACACGTGTTCCTTTGGCCTGCAAGCTGCATGTTGGGAGCATGTGCTCAGTTTGGCAGAGCAATCTACAGCTGGCGCAAGTTGTGCTTATGTTAGGAGCAATCTAAAAGAAGACTCCAAAAGGCATGCTACAAAATCCAAGAAGCAGGGAATGTGAAGGGAATAGGAACATGTGTACATAAAAGGTAGAAAATACAAGGACAGGAAATTGTGAGCATGACTCGTAATCAAGCTCTGTATCTTGTAACTATACTGCAACTACAATGCAAGCCAGCTGAGTGAAGAGATCAGCAGCAGCAAAGGATATGTAAAACCCCGACTCTTAACTGATCCCAAAATCTTGGGCTGTCGTTGCCTTAGAGCTCACATATTTCACATTGAGGTGACAGGGTAGGGTGGGACAGGAACATAGGCCTATTCATGTACATATCTAGAAATACTGCACCTTCTGCACACAGACCTTTTTGTTAAATGTGTACCACAGAAGTGAAAGAGATCTGAAGAGACTGCCCGACCAGTCCTTCACTTCAAAGCAAAAGTTTGCTTTATGTGTCCCCCACAGTATCACTGGAGGAATTCCATAACTCCCCTGGGTGAGCTGCTCCACATCTAGAGTTCCATAACATTCCACCAAAGCAAGTCCAGAAAGGTGAGGATAAGATTAATTTGCAGCTGGACATGAAGGACAACCACCATCTTCCTACACATGCAAATACTGTTACTGTGCCCTCGCATATTTTCTAGAATAAGTAAACCCAGTTCTATTACCCTTCCTCAGAACAACAGAATTTGTAAGCTCTTTATTTTTGCTCATTTCTAAATTCCCATCAGTTGTATTATTTTTCTAAGAACCTGCAGCTCAGAGCTGATACCTCAACAGCCCTGAGCAGAGGAATAACAACAGGACAAGTTTTATGTGCAATTCTTATACTAATACATTTAATACTTGCATTCTTTGTAACATCACTTTGTTTATTCCCTGCTTACGACCTAATTATAGTCCTCAATGTTAGGTCTGGCAAGTAACAAGGAAGCTTCATCAGCTACTATGTATTTTGTATTGATGCACTGGACTTACTCTTTTGAAACATACCTTATTCTTACTAAAAATATGAAGTTTAATGCTGTTTACAGAGTGCTCATAACTCTTCCCAGACCGACGTCAGTTATTCCTTATTGCAATCTAATATCCTCGCTCATTGAAAAACAGCAAACACCAACACTCCTACTGAAAGAAATAACGTCACCCCCTTTCTATTCCCAGTGTGTGCCTGCACTCACACCTGTTTCCTCCTTGTGCTAGCACACGTGTAGCACGCAGATCAGGAACTGATCCAAATGAAAGACAGGCAGCTGAAGTGCCACCAAACTACAGCTTTAAGTCACTCATGGCAATATTGAGCAGTCCTACATCAAGAACAATTGCCTGGTGTACTTCATCCAGCAAACTGTTAGCTCACCACCTTATCCTGTTGATGCTTGCAAACAAATTTCTAAATAAACAAACATATCTGGTATCTTTCCTGTTACCAAAACATCAGCTAATGAGTCTGTAAATTTCCCAGGTTCTTACCCTCCTTTTCTTTAAGGGCAAGTATACTCCTGTTCCTTTCCTTTGGCTCTCTTACCCATCCTGGAATACTCAGAAATCATCATTGATGGCTCAGAAATTGTCTCAAGAGTTTCCTGGACTATCCCAGGGAGAATTTCTCCAGGCTGTGCTATCCTGAGTACATAAAACTTCTAAATTACTTGTTGGTTATTAGACACATACCAAAAAACTGAGGACAGCAGGCTGGTTTTTTGCCAAAGTAAAAACTTCATAGTGTTACAAAAAGTGACTCGTGTTCCACTTGTGTGTATCACCACATATAAAAAGCCTCCTCGCAAATTAACTCATATAAATAGCAGCATTGTTACATTGGTAATAATCTGTCTCCCAAACAGAAGAACAACCTCACACACAAAGAGAAGATACAAGAAAAGATGAAGGGGAATGTTCTGTTCCAATTTGTATTGGCACTCCTTTGGAACAATTACATGTTATGTTCTGCAGTCATTCCAAACTTATGGCAACAAAACATGCCATACAGGGTAAAACTTGAAACTCACCTGACAGTGACAACACCATTACAGAATGAGTATGTTCCTCTACAGTGTTCCTATAGCATTAGCGTGTAATTACACTTCAGATATAATAACAAAACCTAGAACACACCCAATCTAAAACCAGGACCAAAATGTACCAGATAAAGTACCAGTGTTCAAAGGCCAGTGAAATATCCCTAAATTACTGTCGTATCTGATCTCCAAATGGCTTGGGTTTTTGTACTTTCACTCTTCCATACCTTCCGAATCTCCTCGGGCAGCGCATGAACGGGGATGTGCCGCTCCATGGCCTCCCGAAACGCCGCGGTGGGGTCAGGGAAGCTGCCAGAAGTCACAGGGAGCGTCAGAACCTGCCGTCAGTACCGGGCCCGCACTATTCCTCGGGCCCACCCGTGGAAACGAAAGCGCACACACACACACACGCTACACGCGGCCCAGCCCCCCCAACGCCCGCACCGCCTGCTCGGGAACCGAGGAGCGGGGCCGAGCGCAGGCCGCGGAGGAGCGAGGGTAAAAAGCGGGGAGGAAGCCGCTGGGCCGGGGTAGCCGGAGGGAAGCGGCGTGAGGGAATGCAGCCGGGGCGGCCATTTTCCTACCGCGGCTTCCTCCGTTACCACGGCAACTGCGCACGGCCCTGCGCCTGCGCCTCACGTGGCCGGGGGCGAGCGGCCGCTGTCGGCCTGCGCCGGCTCAAAGGCGGCGGAGCCTGCGGTGGGTCTGCCGTGACCCGGAGCCTCTAGCCCCGGCCCGGGCTGAAATTAATAGCCAGGAAAGGGAGAGCCTGCATTACCGGGGCTGGAGGTGGCTCCGCAGGGGGAGGGAAACGGCAAAAGCGCCATAAACAACGACCAGGATGCACTGTAGGGCCTTTGGAGGCTCTGACTCTGACTGAGCTGTCGGCCCAAACCGAGCCTCTTGCCTGGGTTATTGCCTCTCAAAGCCGAGGCCTGTTTAGAGCACAAGCTTTACAGAGAGCGGCTGAGGGAGCTGGGGTTGTTCAGCCTGGAGAAAAGGAGGTTGAGAGGAGATCTTACCACTCCCTACAACTGCCTGAAAGGAAGGTGTAGCAGGGGGTGGTGGTGTCGGTCTCTTATCCCAAGTAACAGGCGATAGGACAAGAGGGAACCACCTCTCGTCGTGCCAGGGGAGGTTTAGGATGGATATTGGGAACAGTTTCTTCACAGACAGTTTTATCAAACATTGGACAGACTGCCCAGGGCAGTGGTGCAATTACCATCTGCGGAGGTATTTAAAAGATGTATAGGTGTGGTGCTGAGGGACATGGTTTAGTGGTAGACTTGGCAGGTTAGGTTAACCATTGGACTCAATAATCTTAAAGGTCCCTTCGGCCTAGATAATTCTATGATTCTATGTGCTCGGCCTCTGCACCAACTGCTTTTGCACTGCAGCTGCCCATGAAACCCACTGGAGTTCACAGCAAAGCAATAAAAATAAATTGGGAAAAGATGTGAGAATGGGGAGTTTTCAGTATATAACCCCGTTTCAATGGAATTGATTTCACATTCTGCCCCCCTCCTTTTCATCACTGGTTATTTTACATGCAGCCCCTTTGAGGCGGGCCAGAAAACCAGCTTGCCGTGAGACTCAGCTTTGCTTTATAGCATCCCATCAGCCGTGCTGCAAGGGCCACCTGCTCTGTCCCCACGGTCCCCAGCACAGGACCCAGCACAACCTGCAACAGACGTGTGATGCTGCAGATGAGGGGCCCTGAGTGCTGCAGGGCTGCTCCCCTCCCAAAGCCAATTTACAGCCTGCCCAAAGCCATTCCTACACGCCCAAGGCATTTTCTATATGCACAAAGCAATTCCTACACGCCCAAAGCATTTTCTATATGCTCAAAGTAATTCCTACATGCCCAAATCAATTCCTGTATGCCCAAATCAATTTCTGTATGCCAAAAGTAATTCCTGCATGCCCCAAGCATTTTCTATATGCCCAAAGTAATTTCTATGTGCCCAAAGTAATTTCTATGTGCCCAAAGCATTCCCTACAAGCCCTGTACAGAAAGATACACCCCTCAAAAAATAATTTAGCGACAAAACTGAAAAGAGCCCGTGGTGAAAAATGAAGCGACCTTGTTAACCTGATTTAATTTATGCGTGACTCCCTCTTCGCTGCTGAGGTTGGGTCTCTGAGGCAGCTCGGCGCGGGGGGGGACACAAACATCAGCGATAGGGTTTTTTTTCAGAGCAGTGGGGTTATTATTTGGTGGAGAAGGCTGCGTGCAGGCAAGGGGGGGAGGAGGGCAACGGCTTGCGATTGGGGAAGACCGAATTTTATTGGGAAAAAAAAGGAAAAATGCATGAGTAGGGCTGTTGCAATGATATAGGGATGCAAAGC